GGAGGGCGGTGGCGACGGGTGAGAGAGGGAGGAGATTTGAAATAGATTAGAGTTTGGATAGGATGTTATATTTAAAATAAAGTGGGTGGGATAGGTACTGTGGTGGGTATATATGTTATTTTAATTTATAAAATCATTATTAATTAAAATTATAAAAACCTGATAATTGAATAAAAAACTTAAAAACCCGAATTTTTAAAATGTAAAAAAAAAAAGACATGGTTTGGTGTAATTTCCACAATAATCAACTAAACAACCCTAAAATAAAGGGGTTTGGGCAAACTCATAATACAAGCCCAATAATAGAAAGATAAATAAGAGTTCACAACAGAAAATAAATCCCAATAGAAGTCCGCATCAGTTATTTAAAAGAAGTTTCAAAGTGCGTGAATCACTCAGTTAACATATCATTTCTTGTGAATCAGTTAGCTAGTCTAGAAGGGTCTTATTACAAAACTTGTTTTCGTTGATAAGGAAAACAAAACCTAGTATGGAAACCGATTTTCCTAAGTGTATAATTTTTCCTTTCCCACCATACATGTGGTTTAGCCAAAATTGGAAATCTGTATGACTGTTATCATTGATTTGTTAGCCATTTTGGATCTTCATTCTTGCTTTGAAGACAACAAATGAAAGATTATTGTTTTCTTCAACTGTCATTTTTATGTGTCTTCTTTCCCTGGTTCTCTCTCGAACTTCCTCCAATCTTGATGCTTCTGTTGACCCCAAAAAATGAACTCAACAGATAACGGGCCCACTCTCGCCACGTCAAGTACGGATCCAACACATTTTTACCGAAATGAGACCGATAATCCCGCTACAGTGAACATGGGAAGCACTTTCCGACGAGAAACAAAAATGTTAAGGTTCTGGCGAGATATATTTCAGGAATATCATGCTATCAATGATCTCCTATTCAACAAAATGACAATGAAATATGTAGAAGGATAGATATGATGAGTAGATGAGTTCCCTTTATTTCAATAAAATCTCAGATGTTTGTATGAATATATGTTTGTATATTCTTTTTCCTCTCCCATTTTCTATTCAGAGAGCGGCTATTTATATTTTTCTAGCCGACGTGATGATCGTTGGATCAAGTCCACATGGCGACATCCCCTAAGCCGAAACTTCGCATCACTGTCCACTCATTGCATTTAATGGTTTGACTAAAGGTCAGCCGTTCTAGTAATAGGCTGACAATAATTAAAATTACAGATACTTCACAGCAGGCGTCACATCAATCAATTCAAAAATATCTTCGAATTTGGTGAGGTAGCTTCGATTTCATCAGCCTCGGGCGATTCTGCAAGAACCTCGAATTGGGTAGTGTCTCGTCTTTAAGGAAGTGCTTCAGGGCAAGGTTTATTAATGTGAAAGCATCTGTTGCTGGGATGAGGACCTCAGCCCATTTTCTTATTTGGTCTTCTGACCCATTGGCCCTCCTCTTAGCTCCTTATTGACCGTCATGCCACGTGGCAGGCCATGTGGCCCAGCCTCCTTAGACCTCGAAATCGGGGGATAACAATAGTCCCTCAAGTCTAGGCATAATTATTTATGTAATGCATGGACTTGAAAGTAAAATTGAGATACAACTTCAGATAATAAGATGCCCTCTTAGAGTTTCGAAAAATAAGACGCTCTCTTAGAGATCCGAAAAATAAGACGCTCTCTTAGAGTTTTGGAGAATAAGACACTCTCTCAGAGCTTCAGAGAACAAGATACTCTCTCAAAGCTTTGGAGAATAAAACGCTCTCTTAGAGCTTCGGAGAATAAGACGCTCTCTTAGAGCTTCGGAGAATAAGATGCTCTTTTAGAGCTTCGGAAAATAAGACACTCTCTTAGAGCTTTGATAACGAGATTCCTTTCTTCAAATATTCTTAAATAACTGAGGCTCCCTCCTTTGTTCAATGAAGTATGGAGCTATGATTAGCCTCGGATTGACGGTCACGAGGATTTGTTATTTTTCCAACAACTCTGAGATTTATGAGGCATTTTAATCATGGAGCTTCAATGATTTAATGTCTTGGTACCTTCCCAAGAAAAACAACCGGGATCATTTCAACTTCCAACAAACGTTATAGCCGCCGCGTTAAATGCACAGTGATGATGGTTTCCCACGTTCTTTAACAAGATTTCAGATGCGTAAGGGCGCGTGTAAGCCACGTTCAGATCTTGGCCTTTGAAGGCCAAACGTTAGACATTGTGAGTGGCTTGGATTATAAATCTTGTTGATCCATGGTTGGATGGTCCGGATCGAGATCCAACGGCTAGGGTTGAATGAGTTTGCCTATAAAAGGCAGAGAACTTTTTAGGAAAATTCCTTTCCACTTTTTTGTACGTACTCCCGCACTCTTATTTTTCAAGTTCCTGAATCCTTTGAGCTTTTTCTTCACAGAACTTCCTCAAGAGTTCTCCTTTCTTTTTCTTCTTGTTTTCTTTGGGAAACCCGTAAGTATCGTAACTTTCTCCTTATTTACAAAGTTAATGGCTACGTCAAAACCATCAGAGGAACAAGTGAATGTTAGTGAGTTAGCTCATGAGTTGGGTTTTCAAATAACAAATACTGCCGACCTTGTCAGGACTGTAGAGGCTGTGCGGGGCACTTCGGTTTTTGGGGATGCCGTGGTAGTGACGAAACAGTTTGGGGGCATCCAAAATTCGATCCTCTGTAGATCCGACCTACTTGCTCACCCTTAGGGAGAAATACATGATTCCTTATGACATCGAACTTCTTTCCCCTTTTGTGAATGAACGAGCCTGTTATCCTAGGCAGGGATGCGTTATTATAAGTGAGTTCATGTTGAAAGCGGGTCTTCGTTTACTGATCTATCCTTTCTTCCGGGCAGTCCTCAAATTATATGAGATAGATCCTACCCAGTCGTACCCAATGCCTGCCATCAATCAACAAAATATTGATCTAGAGCTTCTTGAGAAATTCAAGAACTTTGAGGAAAAGGAATGGGAGGCGCATAAGCCTTGACTGGATTTGGTGTCTTGGCAGTGGATGCTTCTGTACTTTCTTTATTCTTAATTGAGGCGGGTGCAGATTTTTCTTCCATTATAACTTCATCAACATCTTCCTAGTCATCTTTTCTTTCAGGTCGTTTCACAATAATCTCTGGTAATTGTACCACACTCCTTGTAGTTATAACATGAATATTTTCCTCAATTGACTTTTTTCGAAATGTTTGGGAGAATGGAAGTAGAGGTACGTATGCTATGTATTACGATAATATAGGTAAAACATGTTAGATTTAGTATTAGTATGTGACTTTAACCTTATATTAAATTCTTCTCCATCTTGGACTCCAATAAGAGGGTTTATATATATTTTCACATTGTATCTCCATTTTATAACATTCATATATTATTCTTTACATTTTCAACAATATATTGAGAAATTCAGAGTTTAGATTTCAATTGAGATTATTGAAATCTTGATATTGTAAATACAAAACTATTGATTATAGTGGATTGTTCTCCTTTGCTCGTGATGT